CGCCGCCGCGCCCGGAAGCCCCGGCGCCCACCGCCACCGCCGCCCCCGCGTTCCAAAACCCGCAGCCCGGCGCGGCCTCGTACCAATGCCGCCGCTGCCCGTTTCGCCACAGGTCCGTCATCGTCCTGCAGGTCCACTACCAAAAAAATCACCCGGCCGAGGCCATCACCATCGACAAGATCAAACGGCAGGCCGGCGTCGCGCCGAGTAAGAGGCCGGACGAGCAAAAGGAAACCGAGGACGAGGTGAAGTTCCGCCTCGGAGCTCAGCCGGAATTTTCGATGCGTGACTCCGAAGCTCAAAGGAAATTCGGGGAAGACGCGACGATGCCAAAAGTCGCGGTGGACTCGGCCATCTCCGGAGAAGTCGGAGGCGGCTCCCGAGCTCGGGCGAACGCCGAAGACGCAGTCCACAAGTCGGAATCTCCCGGAGCCCGAAAAGTCCCGGAAAGCTCCAAAGTTCCAATGAAAAGTCCGAGCGTTGAGGCGGAAGCGCTCGCCCCGGAGAGAGTCGCTTCCCCGCGGCGGCCGAACCAAGGAGTCGACTCCGAGCGGACGACGAACGCCCCGGGGCTCGTCCGCGATCGGCCGGCCGCGACGAGCGCGCCCGCTCGCGACCGCGCCCCGTACGGAGACGCCACGGCCAAGAAATCCAAGTCGGCCGCTTCCAACGTTTACGCCCGCCCCGAGAATTTGTTTTTCTGCTTCAAATGCAACTACGGGAACCCCACCGTCAAAGGCGTGATGGTGCACCAGTTCCGGACGCACGACAAGCTGCGCACCAGCGGCGAAGACATCGCCGACTACACCAGGGAGATCCACCGCGGCTTGCGAACGTCCGCGGCCGGAGCGGAGAACCGCTCCTTCTCTCCCTTGCTGCCCCTCCCCATCTTGAACAAGGGCGACGAGCACACCTTTTTCTGCCACTTCTGCCACTACCGGCGCAGCACCGTCTCCAAGGTGGTGCAGCACTACGCCAGGAGGCACAACGGCTCGGTGGCCACGCCCAAGCAGATCCAATCGTACACCTTTCGCACTCTGGAGCTGCTGCAGAAATCGGCCGGCGCCGAGGAAGCGGCGGCGCAAAAGGCGACGGGCGGCCGAGCGGGCCCCCGCCAAGTCGAGAGCCTGCGGTGCGAAGGCTGCCCCTACAAGACGCACAACGCAAAGCTTTTGCGCGCGCACGCGCGCAAGTGCCGGCGAGCGGGCGGCTCCGGTTCGGGCGTTTTGAAAGTCTACCTGACGCAAGGGAACGCGGCGGCGGCGGCGGCGGGGTACCGCTGCGATCTGTGCGCTTTCTCCCACGACAAAGCCACCGCGTTGTACAAACACTACCGCCGGGAGCACCCCGAGAGCCGCCCGCGTCTGGATTTCATCACCGCCCGCTCGCAGGAAGGCCGCGAAAAGGCGAGCCGGACCCAAGCGGAGGCGCCCGAAGGGCACGGGAGCGACGCCGGGCCGTATTGGTGCCGAGCGTGTTCTTTCCGGGGGAGCTCGCCGGCGGCAATTAGGGACCACTACGGGGCCGTGCACCCCTGGTGCCTGAAGGAAGACGGCTCGGCGCCCGCCGCGGGCGGCGGCGACCGGAGCGAGAACGCTCGCCGGGACCCCTTCGGCCGCTTCGACGACTACCAGATCCCTCTGGAGTCCCCGAGCGTGTCGCCGGAGCGCATCCGATCGGGCCCGTCGCCGAACCGGGACGACGGCGGCGGCGACGACGCTTCCGAAGAGTCGCAACGGAGCGTCGACGCGGAGGAAGAGAGCCACGTGCACGTCTTCAAGTGCCCCTACTGCACCTACGTCAACACCAAGCATCAGGGGGTCCTCACCCACTGCCAAATGAGGCACGCGGCCCTTCGGTCGCGAGCCGACAACCTCTTTGTGAACGAGGCGCACTTCCGCGGCTGGGAGAAGAAGCGCGAGGCCCGCCGGGAAGGCCACGCGTCGCACTTCCGGGGCTACATGTGTCCGCTCTGCCCGCTCACCTACGACAGCGAAAAGAAGCTTTTTTCAGTGCGCGTACAGCTGCAGCAACAAGGCGGCGTTCGGCCGCCACGTGCGCTTGAAGCACAAGGGCGCCGCCGTTCCGCTCCGGCGCTACCATTGCGTCCTCTGCTCCAATTCCTACTTCAAGAAGAAGCGCCTCGCCAGCCACTACGAGAACAAGCACGGCCACGACGCCTACCGGAAGCACTTTTTCCCGCTCCGCGAGGACACGCCCCCCGACAAGAGCAAGAGGCTGGTCTACAAGTGCCCGCGCTGCCCCTACGTCAACTCGCGGCCGCACGGCATGGCCACGCACTGCCAGATGATGCACCCCGACCTCCCCGTCCGCGTGGAAGACTTCCAACGGGACGAGATCGTCATCAGCAGCAACTACCAAGCGGGCAGCAACAACAAGCGAGGCTACCTGTGCGGCCTGTGCCAGGGGATTTGCATGTCGCTCAAGAAACTCGCCGTCCACCGCTCCAGGAGACACGCCGCCTCGGAAGACGGCGATTCCCGGCCGTCGGCCGAGCCCGAGCCCGAGGCCCGTCCCCGGCGGTCGGCGCCCCCCGACCGCTCTCTGTACCCGTGCCTGCTGTGCTCTTACTCGTCGCCCATCAGGAAACGTCTGGCGGCGCATTACGCCAAACGGCACGGGAAGAAAGCCTTCCGCAAACACTTTGCCCCGCTCTACCTCCGCAAGGCCGACGGCCCGCCGCCGGAAGCGGCCGAGGCCGAGCCCGAGCCGCCCGAAACCCCCCCGGAGGGAGAGGAAATGCTCTACGCGTGCCAGCTGTGCGAGTACCGCACCTGGGCGCGCCGCTACCTGACCTACCACTACAACAAGACCCACCGATTGGACCCGGGGACGAGAGACCGGCTGCTCGTGGCCTACAACAAACGCAAAAGGCCCCTCCCTCGGGATCCCGCGCCCGACCGCTCGGAGCCGGGCCCGCCGGACGACCCGCGGACGGCCTCCGCGCGATGCAAGAAGTGCCCCGACGTGTCCTTCGGCTCGCCGCAGCTCCTGATCGCCCACTACCGCGCCAGCCACGGCGCCGGCCGCCGAGCCGACTTCGCCGTCGTCCACCCGGCGGGCCGCAACACGGGCGTGTATCGCTGCGCTCGCTGCCGCAAGACGCTGAACGGGATCAGGAAGCTGGGCCGCCACCTGGATCGGCACCGGGAGAAGAGCTCGGCCGGGGTCCGGGCCAAAAACGACCGGGCCGAGTCGCGGGTGAGTCGTCCCCGAACGAACGATCGATCGCGGATTTGAGACGGGGGCCCGGGACGGCATCCTGAGCGTTTCTTTGTTGTCGTCCCGCCGAAAACAGGACACGGCGCCGCGGGAAGAAGGGTCCCCCTCGACCGGCGGCTTCGCGGCGTCGCCCGAAAAGGCCGCCCGGCGCGAGGCGGCGGAAGCCCCGTCGCCGGGCGAGACGCACGCGTGCGCCCAGTGCCAGCGGACGTTCAAATCGCGCAACGGCGTGCGAACGCACGAGCGCAGCCACGAGGCGCTGGCGGCCATCAAGAAGCTGCCCGCGTCGCTGTCGCAGCTCAAGTAAGAACGCCGGCGGCTCCTTCTTTGACCGGCTCGTCCTTGCGTGCGACGTCGACGGCGGCCCGGTGGCCATGTCACGTTTCGTGACGACGGTACAAATGTCATCAGTGAAAAAAATGACGTCCACCTTCTTTTTTTGCTCGCTACTATTCGACATTTCACATTGTTGCCCCTGAAATCGCTTCACCGCCGCATCGTGTGCTACCTTCCCGCCAGTCTAGACGCTTGTACGCTACGTCGACTTCGCCATCTTCCTCCGTACGCGCCTACGCAAGCCACCGCGGCTGCGCTTTGCTTCCTCCCTGCGCCGCGCACCATCCCGGCTTCCTTCCGACCGACTTAGCCGGCCGCAGTCGCTCCCTACGAAAGTGGAACGAGCGCGTTTGCCTTTGTCTCTGACCCCGACAGCCTGAACAAGTATCTTCTGCATAAGCCCGGAACCATCCGTCCTTTCCAGTGCTCCATCTGCTTCTATCGCACCAACGTGATGGGCCTGTGGAACAACCATTTGCTGAAAAAGCACCTCGGTAGGTCCACGGCTTGATTTCATCGAATTCGGGGATGGTTTTCAAAGGGGCACACGGCATGTCGTTCCCCCCCAAAGTGTGTCTCTGGAACACCTTCCCAGCTGTCCAATGTGAAATGATGAAAGCAAGTCGCTTTCTTGCCTATTGAAGTGTGTGTGTGTGTGTGTGTGTGTGTTTTTTTCAGATAGCGTTCTTGAAACTTGTGACGACAAACGGGAGAACAGCGCAACTGCGACCGCGGACACGGATACTCCTGCTTTAGGTTCCAGAGGGGTTAGTTTGGGCAAAACGAATGAAGGATGTAGCAGAGGCAAGTAACGTCGTGACAAACGCGGGTCCCTCCCTTGCCTCCCTTCCTAAGCCTCGCCACAAACGCCAGCCAGCGAGCGATCCCAACCTGTCGCCGCCCTCCTCACGCGCGTGTCCCATCCTACCTTGCGCAGACTGGTACCTGGAGCCGCCAGAGGTTCGCCGACAGCTCAACCACTTCAGCCTGATGGCGCAGAGCAAAGCCGCGACTGCGCCGGCCGCCCGGCAGATCGGCGGCGGCGGCCCGCTCCGCTGCGAGAACTGCTCCTTCTTTTGCGAGGATCTGCCCACCATGCGGCGACACTACGTCAGTCGACATGGCAGGAAGCTGTTGGCGTGCAAGGACTGCGACTTCTTCACCGGCTTGAAGTCAGTCAGCAAGCGGCGCTCGCGACCTTCCCCGCTACTCGGCGCTCTTCTATTAGGACACCGCATGCAAAGTCTCTCCCACGAGCGGGCCAAAATCTTTGTCACGCGATTCGCAAAAATCTCACGCGCTCAGTGAGCAATCTTGTTCGGGCAAAGACAAAATGGCCGCCATGGACCGACGCGACGCAACGCAACGCAGCGCCCAAAAGTCCTTCCTTCTTATCTTGCGCTAGCATTTGGCAAAAACACGGCTGGCTTTTCACACGGGAAAAGCCATTTCCGCGCGGATTTTTCCTCGGCGCGCGGACCGATCGGGTCGGGCTCGCCATTGCTACCGAGCGGCGCTTGTGTGTTCCTCAGGAAGGCCATGAGGGTGCACGTGGACGCGGATCATCGCGGGTTCCGGAACGAAGCCCCTCCGCCGGAGGGCCTGCGCTGCCCTTTCTGCCTCTACCAAAGCCACGACAAGAACCGCATGATCGACCACGTCCTGCTGCATCGCGGTACGTCCCCGTCGCCGTCCCGCTTGCCGGATCCCCTTTGACCCTTCCCCCGTCGCCGCCTTCCGATTGCGCAACGGCAGAGGAGCGCGTGGTTCCCATGGAGGTGCGGCGGGCCAAGCTGTCGCGTTACCTGCGGGGCCTGGTGTTCCGCTGCCACCTCTGCACGTACACCAGCGCCAGCGCCGACAACCTGCGCTCTCACGCCGCCAAGCACCAGCGCCTCAAGCCCTACCGATGTCGCCTCTGCTACTTCGACTGCGCCGGGCTGGGCGACCTGGAGGCCCACCTCTGCGCAAAGCATCAGGTGACGGGGCGCGACCGTTCGCCGCTTCGCCCTTTCCGCATTTTCTGACCGTCCCGATTTTTCATCCTTCGTTTCATGACTCGGTAACAAAGCCATTCCACACGTCCGCGTGTTTCAACCGCAGATAATCCCTGAAAGCTGCCCCTTGCCGTTTTGCTGCCTTGTTTACACCCTCAGAAGTAGCATTGTTTGCTTGGCGAATGGCGCACTGCGCCGGTCGCAGCTCCTCGCCCAAATTTGCTGTCGCGACATGAAAACGCTTCCGAACAAATGGGAGCTAAGCCTGCTGGGAGGGAAAACGTCAGCGAATCAAACGTAGTTCCCGTAGTCCAGGCACGTCCAGACCCGGAGGGCCGCCGTCCCGGCCGCGACGCACCCGAGTCGGATGAGCCGGCACGAGAACCATCCCGACGACTCGAATCGGGTGCGTTGAGAGCCGGAAAACGGGCGGGGCGCTTTGGACGCCCCTGCTCTCGCCGGTAGGTGGCGCTGCCGCTCCTACCAGAGCTACGGCCAGGTCAAGCGGAGTGCCCCCCTTGGATTTGCTTTCCCCGCTCTGGGCGGTGCCACAGAGGCATTTTGTTTTCGTCGTGTATGAAAAGTCATCAGAATTTCCACCGGGCCCGATAAAAGTGCAACATTTGCAGTTTTTGTGCAGCTTTAGGGCCCCAAACAGGCCGTTCGGCATTTGAATAATAGTCATTCAGAAGAATTCCTACAAAAAAGAGGCGGGACCTCACAGCGGGCGCTGCTCGGGCCCGAAAAAACCACTGGGGGGGGGGGGGGAAACGCAACCGGAACGGCTGTCATGCAAGCCTCGACCCCTCAAATGACAAGATTGGTCTCAAGCGGGGAGGATAATGCTTACTTTTGGCTTGGTCAAACCTATTGTAGTCACGGGCGTGGTTGCGTTCCAATTCCCCCCGCCCACAACCTTCCCATTTGTTTTCCTGCACGCAGGTGATGAGGAACCACGAGCTCGTGGGGCAGGTCAGCCTGGAGCAACTGGAGCAGCTCCAGCTCAACCGGAGACCCGAAGAAGACCGCCACCAGGATGAGCGGGAGCGGGCGCGGGAACAGAGGCCCGACCTTGAGAACGCCCAAGACTTTTTCGGCCGTGCGAAGGAGGCGGACGGCGGGAAGCCCGCGCGGGAAGTAAGCGGCGACCCCGAGAACCGCCTCGGCGAGACGGCCGCTCATAAACGGGAGCGTCAAAATGATGCGGCCTCGCCGGACGCAAAGGACAGCGATACTGCTCATATTCCTCCGCCGGAGAACCGAGATACAAAAGAGGAGGCGGACGATGATGACGACGAGGAGGAGGAGGAGGGCGGAGCCGAGAAACAGGACGAAAAAGCGCATGGCTCCAAACTGCAAATGCTGAACGTGGAGGAGGACATCCCGCGGCACAGCCCGCAGCCGGACGAGGTGGGCGCCACGCGGAGTTTCTCAAGCGGGGAAGAGCCCCGCGCGGGCTTCTCGGAAAGCTCCGGAAAAGTGGCCAAAAAGACGCTCAAGAGGGAAATGTCCGCCCCGCTTCTGGGCCGCTTCTCGGAGCCGCCCCGAGATGACAAAGCCCACAAAAGGAAAATCTGCCAAGCACTCCGAGAGGAAGAGGAAGAGGAGGAGGAAGACGGACGAGACCGTGAAGGCCAGAAGCGGCTCAAGGTGGACGACTTTTCTCAGCTCAAAGGTAAAAATGACCCCAAAAGGCTTCAAGCTCCAAACTGCAAATCCGAAAGTCGAGATTCACTCGCACTCTGAAGGAAGAGGGAATCGGCGCAAATCTTAACGCTCGCACGCAATGCCAAATATCCTGAGCGGGCTCGCGACTCTTGCGTCGAGGTTCGTGTCATTTCAGCCTTTTACGCAACATCTATTTGAACACGGCCGTCTATTCTTTATTCCTCCGCCAAAAGCGGCTCAGATGACGGCGGCCTACCAAATGACTGTTCTTTGTGTATTTTTGTCTGTGTTACGCCGGGGTGCCCGACAGAAGGAGCCGCGCTTTCCGTCCATCCATCCGTTGACTAATCCGTTTCTCCTCGGGAGGGCGGCGGGGGCGCCTCGGGCCGGGTACGCCCGAACCGGTCCCTATTAACTGGGGGGGGGGTTCTCTGTTCTGTCTTTATTCTATGATCCTTTTTTTTTTTTTTTTTTTTTGTCGTTGCAGGTGTCGACATGACGTTCTCTTGCAGTCTATGTGGACGGAACCTCCGAAGCAAAGAAGAGATGCAGCGCCACGCCGCTCGCCACGGGATGTAGGCCACAAATAGGTCGACGCCATAACACCATCACCATAACTCACATTTCTGATTCCCTGCCGTGGACAAAAAAAAAAAAAGGTTTTCTACATTTTAACCATTTTCTGAAGGACTGAGATTTTTTTTAAAGACAGTTTGGTTTGGATAGTTTAAATAAAGCTTTGGAAAACAGCTGTTAAATGTCTGATACTTTTTCTTTTCGTGCTTTTTCCATGTGAACATTGTAGGACTACTGTATAAAAAAAGGCAAAAAGTCCTCAGTATTTTTCTTTGTTTTTGATGGACCAAAAAAAAAAAAAAAAACTCAACTCATGTTGCATTCAAGTGCTGCAGGACTTTGTGCCTTCCTGGTGTGTCGTCTCACAAAGTATTTTTTTTTTGTCGTTGTTCTTCGAGGACATTTACTTGGTTTTATCTGAGTTGATTTATATATTCAGTCATTGAATAAATTTCAATGTTTTGTACATCTGATCACTTTGAATTGTCTTTAACGTTTTGTTTTTTGCTGTTCCAGTCTACATTATGATCAGTGTGTTTTTCCGTTGGATTCTGATTTCAGAACCGTATGATCTATCGGGTCTATGCGCGAGCCCTTTCCAGATCAAGGCAGCAGATGATTTACCTAGGATTGAGTTTATTTGGTCGGAGCTGGCAAATACATAAAACGAAACAATACATTCTAGTGCTTTGACAATAGCTGCAGTTGTAACAAAGCGCTTTAGAGAAAACATTGAAACCCGACTTGTTTGGAGGACAGTAATGGTGACGAGTTTGAAATGATCCCAGTCCTATCTTTTGTTTTTGCTTCTTGTGAGCGTCGCATTCCAAATGTGCGCTATATAAGTGTTTGGCAAATGAACATCCATCCATCCATGACCTGAAATGCTTCATCCCAGCTGTCTTCGGGCAGTAGGCGGGGGACACCCTGAACCGGTTGCCAGTCAATCGCAGAGACAAAAAAAAAAAACCCTCAGCGCTCACATTCACACCTAGGGAGTGTTCGATCAGCCTGCCACGCACGTTTGTGGGAGGAAACCGGAGTACCCGAAGAAAACCCCACGCAGGCCCGGGGAGGCCGCAGCCGGAATCGAAGCCGATACTTGTGCACTGTGAGGTCGACCATCAACGGGATGAATTTGGAAAGGATACAAAGCGCGCTTGGCGGAATGTCGAAAAGTCCGAGGTTTTGTGAACGTTGCGTGGAGTTGTTCCGAACGTTTGTTTCTCAAGGCGACGACGGACACGGTTGGAGAGTCATTTGAAAATCCGCGTTTCATGAACTTGGGCTTCCCGGAGTACAGTACAGTACAGTACAGTACACTCTTTGACCAGTTCATCGAAATCCCGAGTTTTGGGCAGCGCGCCCTGCGTCCGCTGAGCGTGTCCGCGCGGTGCTCCGACAGAAGCTGGAAATTCCAACTTGTTCACGCCTCGTTTGGAGCGCGCACAATGACGACACACTTGCGGTGGCGTTCGAAAGTAAACCGACGCCGCTTCCTGGTGCGCACTTTCCTCCTCAGAATCGGCGCAAGAGCGCGGGGCGAGCGGAGGGAGAGCCGAGTCGTCCTTTTGCGCCACTAGCGTAAGTCCTATTCGTCGGTGTCCGCGCGCCGTCTGCGAGGCGCGGGGCGGGGGAGCTCGAGATGCTGAACGACGTCGGCCGGACGCGGTCGGAAGGGCTCCGCGGAACTCGGACGAGGCTCCCGTTCGGTCGTCTCGATTGACGAACGCGCCGGGACGTTTCGCGAGCCTTGACGGCCTTTTGTTTCCTGGTACGGACAAAGACGACCGCGTGAACTCGAATGGATGCCGCTCCACTTTTCACAGTTGTCGACGTTTCGCTTTGTTCTTGCTAGTAGTCATTCTGTCGAGGAACCGTTTGTTCAAAAGAACGAGACGCGGGTGTGACTTTTTGGAACGCGTCGTCCGTTTTGTCAAGGGACCCTTTCAACCTCAACTAACCTGCCGTGTCCGTTTTGTTCTTGAGCTTTGCGATTCGTGTCTATCAGGCGCGCAGCACCGATGAACTTCTTGAGCCGTTGATTGAACGGGACCGTCAAAGTGCCCAAATGCCCACCGGAACACTTGCAAGGAGCTGCCGCGGGCAACAAGCCAGGCCCAGATGCTCGAACGCAGGCTTCCAGGCAACTTCAGCTCCTGAGCAGGCCGCGCCCCTTAAAGGCACACGTTGTAAACGCCCATTTCAGGAAAATGCCCCCTCCGCCCCCCTCGCGTCGGCTCTCTGGTCGCTGGTGGGCTTCCGTTCGGTCTCCCTCTGTCGCTCATTGTTTTGTCGATGTTCCTCGTCGCTGGGAAAGTCCATTCGTTCCTTGTTTGACATACTCGGCCAATCGATTGGATTCTGATTGTGATCCCACAGTATGTGCGAACTTGAACTGGTTTCAAAATCCCAAATCATAAATCTGCGTGAATTGAATTGGCTCCATTTCTCTCCCGTCGAAGCATACATTTTGGAGTGTTCTGTCATTTTTCACGACCTATTTTCTGCGTTGTCTTCCAGACATTGTCGACGCGAGACAACGTGACGAATGTCACGTGCGAGCAAAGCGTCCGGGGATGCGGCCCCGTCCTCGTCAAGGGTGATCTGCGTGGTCTTTGTCCTCTTGCTGCTGGACCTGCTCGGCTTCACCCTCATCCTCCCCCTCCTGCCGTCCATCCTGGACCACTACGCCTTGACCGGGGTGGGTGGGCCGTCCTTTCTCGTACGCTCAGGAAATGAAACCAAGCGCGCTCGCTTCAGGCCGTTTTACCACCGGTCAAAGCTTCCGCTAGATTTGGACACAAAACCGAATCAAACGTTGTCTGTTTAAGTACCAAAATGTTCAGCCAAACCGTGTCGTTTTGTCCGATCAAACGGCACTCGCTCCGCGCTACCGTCTCGCGTAAACGGGCATAGATGGGCGAAGGGAAATTGACACAGACGTGACGGGATCGATCGGCCTCCAGACGAGCGGAGCGCGTGCGAGCAAAGCACATGGCGCTCGTCGCAAGCGTGTGTTTCTCACTCTGTGGGAACGCCTCGTCCTGGATTTTGCAGTGGGGTCGGCATCGCGCAACATGACGTGACACCGAAAGCACTTTCCCATTGTACTGTTAAAAAAAGAAAGAAAGATCCAAAACGATCACCCGAGCGTGGCGCGGCGAGGAACTCATGACGGCCACGAACGCCACGCTAATTTCTTGAAAATGAAAGCGTGCTTTCTGGCTCCATCTTTGTCGCGTCGCGCTCCATTCGCGCTTGTTGTTTGTGCGTGTCCCGACCGTGTTTTGTGTGACAGGATGCCGCCTATCAGTCACTGCAGAGCGCCGTGGACGTCTTCAGAGAGGCGCTCGGGATTCCCATGGAAAAGAAGTACAACAGCGTCCTGTTCGGAGGTATTCGAATGAACAACCCCGCCGTCTCTTTTTCCCCTGTGCTTTTTTTTTTATTCGTTTTACGGCCATTGTTTGATGGCTTCTTCCACTACACTTGCTGTGATGGTCTCGCCACGGTAGCTTGTCTTTTGCACGTGCGTTTTTTTTTTCCCCAGCCATTTATCAAACGGTCAAACCTCAAAACAGGCGCGGCTGCAAAAATATCATCTTGGCGAGAACGGAACGTGCGATGGGCGTCTTGCAAAGACGTGCGCTCAATGAAGACGATGTCCGGTCATCGTACGCTTGCAATCGGGGCACGGTATCGCCGGACGTTCAAGACGTAACTTGTTTCAATTCATTCAAGAAGAAGACATTGGGCCGGCGGCCATTTTGTGACATGAAAGAATCACTCGATCATCAAAATGTCGTTTCTTGAAGTACATGTTCAGTTTGGCGGTGATCTCGATCTTGCAATATTCCAAAAACGCCAAGGCATGTTTTGGCAATACCGGGCGGCCGCACGTAGCGGAAGCGCTGGAACGGCCGGCTCAAGGGTCGCCGCGCTCGTAGCCGCACTCTTTGACGACCGAGAAGCCGAGCTGCCGTCAGACGTGCAGAAAACCCGAATGCGCCTTTCGGCATTCATGGGGCCGCGCCCATGTAAGTCGTAAACGTGATGTGAAATGTTGCAAAGACCCGAGGCAAAACACAACCCCGCCCCCCCCCAGTACGATGAGAATTTTTCAAATGACTCCCAAGTCATTCAATGCAAAAATATCAACCCCCGGAATGTTTGCTTCAACGGGTCCTTGTGCTCTTCAGGTCTGATCGGCTCCGTGTTCTCCCTGCTGCAGTTTTTGTCGTCCCCCGTCACCGGAGCTCTGTCGGATCGCTACGGCAGGCGACCTTTACTCCTCCTGACGACCGTGAGTGTGGCGTCGCAGCCGCCGAACGAGGCGCCGTTTTGTTTCCGGATCGGGTCAAAGTCGCTCTCCGGTTCGGTCGTTGTCCCGCGTCCGCATGAGCGAGCTTAGATCCAACGAGGCGCGCCGCCCGAATGGAGGCGAGGCCGTTATGTGTCGGGATGGACGAGACGGAGCGAGCGGGATCGTCCGATCGCGAGCGTCCGATGCGGCGGAGTGACGGGTGCCCGCCCGTGCGCGCAGGTGGGGATGATGGGCGCCTACGTGCTGTGGGCCCTGTCCCGGAGCTTCGCCGTCTTCCTGTTGTTCCGGGTGACGGGCGGAGTGTGCAAGGGCAACGTCGGCCTCTGCGCCGCCGTCGTGGCCGACATGGCCGACCCCAAAGCTCGCAACCGCGGGATGGTAAGCGCCTCCGCGCCACCTGCACGCGCGGCCGCCGGACTTTGTTGCGCACGCCTCTGCCTCGCGCCGTGTCTGTCCTCCAGGCCATGATCGGCGTGGCGTTCTCGGTGGGCTTCACGGCGGGACCTCTGATGGGGGCGTGGTTGGCTGCAAAAAGCGCCGGCGGGCACGTCTTCTTCCAGACGCCGGCGTTGCTGGCGTTGGCCTTCAGCGCCGCGGACCTCCTTTTCATTTGGCTCATGCTGCCCGAAACGCTGTCGCCGTCTGCCAAGGTCAGTCCGGGGGGGGGCGTTTTTCCAACCGCAACCTTCTGCGTACATCGGCAGTTGTGCGATGTCCACGTATGCCTCGCGGAACGCCACCGGCATCCCCCGTTTCTGCGGGGGTTTCCTGGCTCTGCGACAGAGTCGCCGTTCCTCCGGCGGTGACTCGGATGCGTACCCGAGTCAGACGGCCACCGCAGAAGAAATCTTTGGGGGACGGAATGGATGGCAAACGGTCGAATGGGGTTTTTCTTCACCTTGCGTTCCAGGGCTCCCAGTCGGGGTTCGGGGACCTTCGAGACCTGCTCAGCCCGCCGGCCTTGTTCAACTTCTCCGCTCTGACCAGAACCAAAGATCCGCCCTCGGAGGAAAGTAAGCGCGCCTTTTCGCCGCTCATCGAAAGGGAGCGCGTTGCGCAAGTTTGACTTTTGCGTGGCCAAACGGAGCTCACTCGCGCAATTGCGTTGAAACTGCGCCCACAGGAATGGAGCGGCTGAGAGCGTCGGGTCGGGTTTATTTCTGCTACCTCTTCCTCTTCTCCGGCCTGGAGTTCACGCTGAGTTTCCTCACGCACCAACGCTTCCACTTCACCAGGTTGCGCCACCGCTTGATGGATGGATCGATTGATTCTTCTTGTCTTTGCTCGTTTGTTGACTCCTTTTCTCCTCGGGCAGCATGCAGCAAGGAAAGATGTTCTTCTTTGTGGGCGTGGCCATGGCGTCCATCCAAGGCGGATACGCGCGCAGGATCAAACCCGGACACCACGTCAAAGCCGTCCGCACGGTAGAAGGAGCTTCGAGTGGGGAAAACGCCTTTCGCTCGGCTTTCGGGGGCTCCTCGGCCCGACGCCCGTTCTTCGGGACGTTGCCGAGGCGGCGCGATGAATACGTCGCCGCTCTGGCTTGACGCCGAATTCTTTTCCACTTCTGGCCTCCAAACGTTTTCGAGGGCAAATGCTTGCCGTTGCCGCGCCCGCGCGCTTTCCAGCGAGACAAGGGCGGCCGGCGCGTTCCGACTTCAGTCCAAATTCCGAACTCGTCGGGAGACGGCGTCGATACGTACCCGGACGTACGCGGACAGCGGCCGCCTTGTTTCTTTGCCCGCCGCTTCCTTGACGTGCGCAGCATTGACCATTTTCTTTGGGTGGCGTCTCTGCTTTTCAGGCCATCGCCGCGCTGATCCCGGCCTTTCTTCTCATTGGACTCTCGTGGAACGTCACCATGCTTTACACCGGCTTGGCGCTCTACTCCTTTGGTGAGGATCGCTCGCGCTTCTCTTCCCACTTATTTCGGACGCCGTTGAGACGCGAGGAAATGGCACGAGCTACGAGACAGAAATCTCACGTGATCTAAACGTGATCTCGCAAAACCAAACGAGAAAAAAAAAGCGCAACGAGTGGGAAAAACAAGAGGCGACATGGAAGAAGACACGCGAGAGGAGGGAACGATGCAACGGGGAAATCCGGAACATGAAACAAAACAGAAAAAGCAATGAAGAAAGCGATGTCAGGTTTTTGATTTTCGGTTCAGGATGAACGCAAGCGATGCTTTGTTTTTCTTCAATGTAGCGGCAGCGGTCGTGGTCCCGTGCCTGTCCACGCTTGTCTCTGAACACGGTCAGTGTTTCTCGTTTTCTTTCTTTTTTTTCAAGTGGGGGTGGAGACACCTTTCCGACGGTTTCAATGCTTCCTTCCGCCAGGCTCGGCCAGTCAGAAAGGCACAGTGATGGGCATCCTGCGCAGTCTGGGCGCGCTGGCCAGAGCTCTGGGGCCGGTTGTGTCATCCACCGGTAAATTCAAGCTTGCGCGCGTGTGTGTGTGTCGCGAATGTGTTTTATAGTCATCTTTTCTCGTTCTTTTGGAGTTTACTGGCTGGCCGGGGCTCAGGTCTGCTTCCTTGTCACGTCGGCCTCCTTTGTGATCCCGCTGATTCTGCTCAGCGGCGCCTGACCGCGGCTCACCTCCGCTCATTTTGACGCCGCGGGCGTCTTCACGTTGACGTGCGCTCATTTGTGATGGAGTTTCACAAGAGTGCGTGCGTGCATGTGCAGGTGTGTGTGTGTCAAGCTTTTATACTGTCCTTCCCTTTTTGTCACTGTAAAGAACAAGCATTCACTGTTGAGGTGCCTTCAAAGAGGTCTGTCTATTTTCTTATCAATAAAACAAATGAAAGAACACTTGTCTCCTCAAAGACTGCAAATTTGAGGTGTAGGTTCCACTTTGTCAAGGGAAGCCATTCAAGAATGTGGAATTCATTTATTTTTCTCCACACTATTTTAAAACGACGATCTCTCGATACGTCCGAGGAGAAATGGCAATGATTTGATTTGATTTGATTTGATTTGATTCGCTCATCTCCAATGGGCGTTTGGGGTTGGCGCAAGGTGAGTGCAGTACTCGGCGCCGCCTCTGCTCGGCGCTCTCCGCTGGCCCGACGCGACGCGACGCTACGCCGTCCGTCGCCGTGACGCGCTTTAGCAGCCTCGCGCGTGTATGCTAGCCAGCCCGGCGCTGCGCGTCGCTCCGCTAACTTTCATTTCACTTACGAAGACGATGACGACAGCCCGGCGGACCCCTTCCAATCACACACCGACGTGACGGCGTCAAAAGGGGACGACTCGAAGATGGAGAAGGTACGGAAAGGGAAATGCGTTGAGCTAGCGGGCTGGCGTTTAGCTCGCTGCTGTGGCGTCGCCAACTTTGAGTTGGGCAAAAGAAAGATGAGCAAAGACGACCAAAGAAGTGGTTTCCGCTCATCGTTCGGTCAAGTCAAACGTCACTTCGTTCGTCGGATTTGAACTCGCGTCCAAATTGTCACCATCGCGTGGATGAGATGACGCCGCGTCGGTGAAATAAAGTCGATATTGACGCTCGCACCGATGAAAGACAAATGTCACTTGAACTTAAAATGGCTGCCAATGTTGCCTCGTTTCGGCTTTCAAACGGATGCGCGTTTCCTTCCCACTTGTCCAGGAGGGCAGAGTGACACCTGCCGAGCCGACTTGTCACTCGGGGAGGAGAACCGAGTCGGCCGAGCGACAACGCGGCGGCTCGAACCGTCATGTGATCCCAGCGAACCTCCCCCGCTTGTCCCGGCGCGGGCCAAAAGGGTAGGTGGCGGTAGGCGCACCGAGTCCGGGTGGCTCGGCGCTCCTTTCTTGCGCGACGCGCCGTGGGAGCAAAAGTGCGCGCGCGTGTGTGTTTGAGTGCGTGGTCCATGTGCAACAGTCGCACGACTTCCTGTTCTGTGTGTCTCCGTTTCGGATCAAAGCAAGCATTCGGGCGCAGGCCCGAAGTGGAGCCCACCGTCGGACGTTATCGGCGTTGACTTGTCCTGGAGAGCGAAGGTTAGTTGCCCCGCTTCAAGTGGGAAACGACACCGCCCGGTACAATTCCAGCGTCCAGTTTCCCCAAATGCACTTTGTATGCAGCGATGGCTGTTTGAAAGTGCTCCATAAATAAGATAAGAAAAGAAAACCTTTATTAGTCTCGCAATGGAGAAATTCCCAATTCACAGCAGCAAAGTTATGAAAGGAAGAAGTAGAACAACAAAATATAGGAGCTGCTGGAAAGGCAGCCACTCTCGCGGCGCCATTTTGAAGTCAAAATAACAAAAATAACACAACACAACACATAGGACACAAGACAGTCGTGCAATCTTCACCACTTTTCTGCATACACTTTGTTGTCTGAAGCAGTTATAGATGAAAGAGGAGAGGATCAAAGTGTCCTTTCACCAGTGGATCAGAGACGTCATGCTGAAAAATACGGTTGAGTTGAGAAAATGTGAATATCAAGCAAGCGAATTGTGCCGGAAATGTTGCGCCGTCACATTTTTGGTCGAATGACATCACGCGACCATCTTTGCTCGACTGTGAGTTGGCCCCAGGGGGGGGGGGGCCTCATTTCAACAAGACACACAAGGGCTGTAGAATGTGCTTCAATTATTTTGGGGGAAAGTGCGTCAGGAGGACATCTGGGTCTGTTTTCAATTGGGAGCAAATAATATTTGCCTTGCACTAAATCGTATCTTTTCACTTCCAAGTCATTTCAGCCTCCCTCGGCGACAACAAAGAGCAATGACCCCCGTGCGCCAAGCCGCGTTGCGGCTAACGACTCGGCGGACGCACGGAGACGAGGTAACGCGCTAGTTCTTCGTCCTGATGTCAGCCCTCCTCGGATGTCGCTGGTCAAACGGACCCAATTGAAGCATTTTAGAGATTAGAGCCGTTAAAAAAACGTATCCGCTTGACACATCTGTGGTCGTAGTATCGTGATAAGATTTGGGTGTTAGCTTTCTTTGCGGTTAGACATGCACGAACGCATTTCAAAGACTTTTTCCGGGCAAATGAGATGAGATGTTCCACCATTGGGTTATTCGTCTTTTTCAAATGTTTTCCGACAATTTTATGCCTCAAAGAAAGAGCAAAATCACGGACGGGGCTTGAAGTCATTTGTTGCGGGGTTGAATGTGACCGATGGATGTTTGGATCCCCGCTCCAGCAACAGGTTGGAGGGACTCCAGATCGGCGAAGACGCCGACGCCCGCTCAGGGCGACTTGGCCCAGTTTGAGGTGAAAATGTCTGACTTTCCGCAACTGGACGCCGACCCCTCGCGCGCTCACAAAGAGAGCCGGGGGCCGAAAGGGACGGCCGAGGGACGCCGGCCTGCCTCGGAGTCAAACTCTCCGCGGCCGGATGTGCATCAGCAGGTACCGTCGGGAAATGCTAACGTGCGTTTTTTCCGCCACCGTGGACTCTTGATGTGATTTTGTCGACGGCGCAGAAGGCCGCGGGAGGATCCCGGATTCTGCCCGACTCCCGACAACGTGACAACGGCACCGCCGCAAACCCGCCGCCGCCGGCTACTTTGTGGGCCGACGTCGCTTCTCAGCCGCCGAAAAAAACCCTGCGGATGGTCAGTGGACGTACCGTATCCAAACTGAACTTGCGGCGCGTGCTGTGCTGTTTTTTTCCACGCTCGGTTACGTTCCGGCCTCGTTGCACGAAATGACATTTCGATACTCGGCAATGACGGCCTCCGGACTCGGTGAAGGCGATGCCATCGGGTGGCACGCCTTTCTTGGTTGGGCGTTTTGGAGCAAGGCGCTAACATAAGGCGTCTTTTCCGTACTTTGCCGACGTGTGATTTCTTGACTTGTCGATTGCCGCCTCTTAACGCCGCACGCGGCGTGAACTCCGCTCCTTTGCAGCCCAAGGAAACGGCCGCGCAGCTGCCGGAAGAGGCGACGGCGGCGGGCAGGAAAAAGCGCAAGAAAAAGAAGGCGGCGAAAGAAGCCGATGACGGCGCGGAAGCGGAGCCATCGACGGTCCAACAGGAGCCGCCAAAGTTTGAGGTCAGCGCGTCGTCCATTTTCTTTCCGCCAGAGGAATTTTGCTCGTCCAAAACACACGTCGGGCACGCGTTTATGTGATAGAAGAACCCGGCCGGGCAAGTGGATTTTTAATGGAAGCTTGTCGTCCAGGATGAAGAGGAGTTTCCCGGTCTGGCCCCGGCTCCGACTCGGCCCGTTCGACCGGCGAGCAGTCGAAAGACGGTGGGGGGCCGACACACGTGCAGTTGAGCGGGCTTTCTTTCACACCTTCGTGGGACTAAGCCATCCGCACGCATTTCTGTTGTTAGGAAAGCCAACAAGATGCCGCCCAAACGCCACCCTCGGAGGCAGCAAAGAAAGGACAGGTGAGGCTTTCCCTTTCGCAAAGTCATATCAAAAGATGCCCATGGATTCAAAACATTTGATTTTTTTTTATTTTTCTTCCGGGTATCATATTTTTGTTCCAAAAAAGGAGCACGATGTGTCAAATGTATTTATTTTGTGATTCAATCATTCCCAGAAGATCTCCAGGAAGAAGAGCAAAGCTCCCGTGCAGCTGGACATCGGCAACATGCTGTCTGTCCTGGAGGACAAGCACAAGTCTCAGAAAGTCAAGCACAACATCGTCGCAGGTGAAATTGGCGCCCCGAGCGAGCGCAAGCCGTCCCTCGGGAAGGTCGGGAATGAGTTTCCGTATCGCCCCCTAGTGGGCGGAGGACTTCCCGTCATCCACAAGCAACCGGCGCCCCAGAAGAGGACGCCCCGGCAGCAGGACAAAATCGCCCACAACCCGCTGGATTCCACCAGCCCGCTGGTGAAGAAAGGCAAGCAGAGGGAGGTGCCCAAAGCCAAGAAACCCACGGCTCTCAAGAAGGTCCTTCCTCGCCACGTCGCGCGGTCTCCGCTTCGCTTTTTAGACGGCCTCGTGTACGCCGAACCCGCGTCGATCGTTCCGGGGCCGCCTGGCGTAGGGTTGGACTCGTTCAAACAATCGCAAAGCAGCGTCGACATGTTGGAGCGCGCGCACATTTTGCAAGCGGCAGGTGGATGGGAAATACTCAAGTGTCCGCCATCAGCAAGTCCCGCGTGCGGTCGGCGTCTGGAGATGGCAGTGCGACCCGAGTTCTGGAGCGCTACGCTACAACGCCGTCTTGATTTCACAACAGCTGAACATTGAACATCAAATCGCAAAAATACGACAGAACGCATCAAGCGCGGACACGTGCGCCTTCGAAGCGGTTCGGGATGAAAGCGCAGAGACTCGGTCTGTCATCTAGACTGGTTTTCCGAACTGTTACGTCGTAGATGCTAAAAAAAAAAAAAGCATGATGACCATAAACGGCAGCGTTGTGTGATTTTGCAGTCGTTTCTACGACAGAGCGTTGCGAATGCTCTTGTGTTTGATGATCCTCAGGTCATCCTCAAAGAAAGAGAGGAGCGGAAGCAGCGACGTTTGCTGGAGGAAACGGCGGTGACGCCTCAACATGATTCCACGGTTGATGCTCATGCGGCAGAAGACGAGCGCTGCGACGCCGAGCTGACAGGTCAGGGCCCGTCCAGCTCCGCTCACAATGGGCCATCCTCTTCCCGTTTGGGTTTTTTCCCCCCTTTCTTTTTTATACCAAGCAGGGCCCCATAAAAGCCCTCACTCAGTCTTGCCCCCCCCCCCCCCCTTGAAAGTTTGACACCAGTTTTAAGCAGTCGACACCAAATTGTGTGGGGAGGACCCAGGAAAAAGTCTCGAGGACCGATGCGTGAAATGGAACAGCAAGTTTATGAGGAAGAGAAATTTGGGTCTCCAAACATTCAAACACAGTAGGCGTTTGTTTGCTCGAAATAGACTCCGTGTCACGATTGTGGCAAAAGATGTCACGCCTCACGTATATTTCAAAAAAAAGGGCACAAGTTCTGCGGTGAGTCAGTTTTGCTCACGACACACATCTTTGTTGTATGTCTGTGAATTTGGATTTCGCCATCCAAACGTCACCATTTTATTGTTCAAAAAGGCTGCGATCCCCACTTTTGGGTGAAACCTACTCGTCTTCCACTGAAGATTTATGAAAGAAAAAAAAAGGTGGAATAGAGGAAGATGTCCCACGAACGTAACGGCCGATCAGAGCTTGCTTGACCCGGGAGCCATTTTGTGTCCCTACGGCGCAATTTGAGGGCGGCCGCCTGCGAGCCTCGTGTCATTGACGTGAACATCGGAGCCATCCGATTGCACACGACGGACGACTTTCTTTCTTTCTTTCTTTTCAGCCGAGGCCGTCGGTGCCGTTTTGGCCGGTGACGAGCAGCAACCCAACGAAAGCGGCGACGAGCGGCGGAGCCTCCCGCGGGACTCGGCCGTCGCGGTCCCGGACGGACCCAAAATCCACAGCAGGAAGTTCAGAGAGTGAGGAGAAAGCCGCTCGCCCCCGCCCGCGCCCGCGCCCCCCCTCCCCGGTCGCTCGCTAACGTGCCTTTGCGGCGCTCAGGTACTGCAGCCAGATGCTCAGCAAAGACGTGGACCGGTGCGCCAGCTCGCTGCTGAAGGAGCTGGTGCGCTTCCAGGACCGCCTCTACCAGAAGGACCCCATGAAGGCCCGCATGAAGCGGCGAGTGGTGATGGGCCTGCGGGAGGTCCTCAAGCACCTCAAGCTCCACAAGGTCAAGTGCGTCATCATCTCGCCCAACTGCGAGCGCGTCCAGTCCAAAGGTACGAACCGCTCCTTCCCCCCACTTCAGCTTTTTGCCCATTTGACTGCATTTGCCCCTCAAGTCCCCCCCGATCTTTGACTTTTTGCTCCACCTCTGGACCAAATCGGCTCCAGTCGCATCTGTTCGGCTCGTCGCACGCATAAAGTACACCGCACCTCAACGTTGCAAGCGAATTGACTTCTTTTTTTGGGGGGGGGTTGATATCTGATTAGAATTTTCGAGAGTATTTCATGCTGTCATAATGTCTCATTATTATTTCATGATCAGATCAATATTTGTGATTTCATATGAGCATTTTTTTCATGCTGTACAACGACAATGTTGTTGTATCTCTGAGAAATATTTGAACTTGACATGACTGATGCAGACCCCCAATTTTTCGCAAGTAGGGGCACCCGCCATTTTTGGTGCCAAACCTTATTGGCGCCGTCGGCACGCAAACGTTCTTTCTTTCAACGCAAAGAGCCAATAGCAGGGCCACCTTGGATCGGTCGATGCTGTTGGAGTACTCCTGAACGTTGCCAAATGAAAACGAAATTCTTTTGAAGGGGTTTTCCCTTGCGTCGTATTGAACACGTCTGCCTCACTGTCGATAGGTCCAGGCGTGAAATTTCCAAGAAAGGCACGCCTCGGAACGTTAACCGACGGATCTCAATTCAGCGAGGTGCGAACGCGTGTCTGTATTGGCATCGTCCGGCGACCGTTGGGCGGCGTCTCCCGCGCCCTCCCCAAAGGCGCCCGGGATGGGCTGCGCCGCCGCAACCGGGGCGATCGCCATCGAAAAAGACCGTCTCCGCCCCTGTCGCGAGAACGACTCTGCCGCTCGCCGATGACGATCGCGTGTCAATTCCATCGGAGACGTCTTGTTGATTCTGCGTTTGCATCTGATGGCGTCAGCGGCCCGCAAACATTTTCAGGGGGCCTGGACGAGGCGCTGCACAAAATCATCGAGACGTGCCGGCAACAGGAGGTGCCGTTCGTCTTCGCCCTCTCCCGCAGGGCGCTGGGGCGCTGCGTCAACAAGATGGTGCCCGTCAGCCTGGTGGGCATCTTCAACTACGACGGCGCTCAGGTGAGTTGACCCGCTCCGGCGAATGACGGCGATCCCGACGTTCCGTCAGATCGTTATTTCACCCCACCCCCATGCGCATGCGAGCGTTCATGGGGAAAAGCCCTTGAAGCGGCGGCCATCTCCAGATGGGCGAACCGCGATACATTGCGCGGGAAGGCGCCTCTTCGGTGTGTGGGCTTTGCATTTTGGAGGATGAGCAATTCCTGCCCCACAGGACTACTATCATCAGATGATCGAGTTGTCTTCGGAGGCCAGGCGGGCCTACGAGGAGATGCTGGCGAGCGCCGTCCTCGACCTCTCCGAAGAGCGCGGCGCCGCCGAGGCGGAGCCGGACTCTGGCGAGCCGGGATACGGTACGTCGCTCGGAGGGGGACGCGCTGCGCTGCTCGCCGCCGTTCGTCTCGTCAACAAAGGAGCTGAAAAAGCATTTTCCTCCACAAAGTAAAAGCAAAAAGGAGTGTGCTTTCAAAAGAACAGTCCAATACAATTTAGGACCAAACTCACTCAAATTGCGGCGTCAACAGCCCTCGTTTTTCGTACGTGAACTTTGGGCTTTGTTTTCAATGTCTGTGTTTGCGTTTTCCCGTTGGGCCGGACAGAAGAAGGTCGGCCGGCCCAAGGTTGCCGCTGACTTGATGACGCCGTACTTTGTTTTGTTATTAAACTAGTAGGAACGAACACTCACAAATGGTTTGGCATTTTGGGCTCTGGGGTGAAATTTCAGCACGTAGCGCAAATGTGAAATCAAGTCTTGACAGCTGAACTGAATTTCAGCTTCTGTAAACTTTTGATTGCACGTGTCCAACTGGCGAATGCTTTGCGTTTTTTTTTTTCTTTTCGCACCACTTGCCGTTCTCTACCAAGGAGCTGAATGGCAACCTTCATCTTGAATGTTTCTTGCGCTAGGCCAGCTGTGGAAGAAGCTGCTCGAGAAGGAGTCGGACGAGTCGGCCCACTTGGACGCGTGGCCGGATGAAGATGAAAATGGAGATGGAGATGAAGATGACGAGACTTGACGGCGATGAGGTTCTCCCCAAAGTAAGAGAGGATTTCTTGGACCGGGC